AATTTTGAGAAGAAGGATTGGATGACTGTCCAGAAAAGTGATTTGCCATCAGGATCAAAGCTGGTAAGAAGCACTGTTTCTTTTAGTAGTATGATGAATAGCAGATGTTTTTAGTACTTAATGGTTTCTTGAATTTCAAGCAGATCATGGGGCTTAACCCACCTTTTGGAGTAAAAGCATCTCTTGCTAACAAGTTCATTGATAAAGCCCTTGAATTTAAGCCAAAGCTGCTCATCCTTATTGCGCCACAGGAGACTCTTAGGTAATTTCTTGTGCCCTTCCGTACCCTTCAACAGTTGTAAGGGCTGCAACTAATAAGGATTTGGAGTTACATTGTGGTTTGTTTCTTTTCCTTAACCAGGTTGGATGAAAAGAAAAATCCTTATGATCTTGTTTGGGAGGATGATAAGTTGCTTGCCGGAAAAGTAGACATACATTTCGATTCCTTCTCTCTCTACTTACATTGCATCTATTAGGATGTGGCTTGTTGCAGGAACTCATTCATTTCTTTTTTCCCTCTCAAGGCATTTTACTTACCAGGGTCTATTGATGTAAATGACAAGCAAATGGAGGATTGGAATGTCAACACCCCACTCCTTTATCTTTGGAGTCGCCCAGATTGGACAGTCAGACACAAGAAAATTGCTCGGCTGCAAGCCCACTTGCCCTGTGCAGAAAAAATGATGAGGCTGGAGGATGAGAGTAGCATCCCTGATTGCCACATGGAACCTCGTGATCTTCACTGTAATTCTACCATGCTAGCAGACTCTGTTGGTCTCCAGGATGTTTATCAACCCGCAGAAAGAGGAGCAAAGCTGGTAGAAAGTCATGTTGAAGGATTTTCCAATGGTAGAGGGGATGAACAGGCTCCCGAGGATCATAGCCATAAGGATCAAGCCAACGGCAACTGGGAGGACAGAAACAAGACTAGGATGACACGCGGAAAAGGGAACGAAGGAAGACCCAAGGGTCATGCCCACAAGCATCGGGCAAAAGGTAACTATGAGGGGGGAAACAAGCATATGAGAAGACACGGAGGAGGATCTGACATAAAATCTCCAGATAGCAAGCCTCTGCCCCGTCATTCCTCTCCTAGTTCTTCTTGCAGATCATGGGGCCGGTCTGAGAATACTGAGATGCCCTTGCATCTTGATGCGTGGAGAGAAGGTTATCAGCAATTAGAGCACCAGAGAGTTTCCGGTTTGCAAAAGCAGCATTATAGCTATCAAGATGCTGGGACGGTGATGCATAACAGCTTCAGCACTGAGGCGGCTTACTTGGATATGGGGAGCACATGGCAACACCGTGCTGGTCCTAGGTCGGATTATGGGTTTGGGGCCCCAGGCATGCAGTTTTTGAATTACCAGAGTAATCACACCAGTGGTTTGGGGGGTCATGGAGCACAATTTAGCGAAAGGAATGAGGCGTATGGAGTGCAGCCGGATGGAAGGGCTCAGGCTCGATTTTATGGTCACGAGTATCCTAACTCCATGAGTCACGGAACCCACTACATGGCAAGCCCTGCCCCTGGCTTCTCGTCTGTATACGCACAGATTGGAGCTTATTCTGAGCATAGTAGTACGAGTACATCTTCTGTGCATCAATACGCGCCCACGGTGAACAGCATGGGATCTTACAACACAGCCCCTCAACCTGGGCGCGGATCTGGGGGGTTGGGCTTTGCTCCTGGTCCTTATCGGCCCTATTCGAAGCAGAATTCGTCGGGTTGGCTGAACGAATAGATACGCTGCTGTCTTTTATAATATGACTTTGTTGACTTAAGTACATTATAGGATTTTTTTTTTTTTTTCCCTTTGGTTCTTGAATTTTGGCTTCAAGAGGCGACGCCTCGCGGGATCGCTGGTTCCAAATTTGCCGTGACAATAATTATGAAGTAGTATAGTAAATTTATTTTTTTAAAAATTAAAAATTATATACAAGCTATAATAATATCCTACGAGTACTTTTTTTTTAAAAAAAATGTTGCAAAATTAAATCATTATCAATTTTGTTTAAATGCATCTTTTTCAATGAAGTAATAGAACCTTTTGAAAATTTTAAAATAATTTGTGAATTACCATCAACTTGATTTTTTTACAAATTTCTTTTGTAAAATTTATCTTTATTCTATTTTAAATAAAAATAAAATTTCATATTATAAATAATAAAAAGTTGAATAATTCTTGTTTTTGAAGACTTTGAAGTTAAAAAAAAAATAATTTGAAGAATTGTTTTTCTCATGTAGCGTAAGAAAGTTCATCTAAATTTTAGATGAATTTATCCTTGAACTAAGTTTCATAGATATTTTGAAATAAATTCAAAATTATTGTGATGGTAAGAATTATGAATTTTCAATTTTTTTTGGGGTCAATGTATATAGGAAAGAGAATTTGATAAAATATAGAGGGGTCAAATAAGATAAAATATTCTTAAAATTTTTTTTAAATTTTCTAAGCCTAAGGACTAATTTTTTTTTTTTTTAATTGACCCCACTTGCTTGTACGTGGCTCCGCCACTGTGTGCGGACCGCGTAAATCATCCTGTTGTAGAAAGAAAATTTTTCATTTTTGGTGATATGTTCAGCTGAAGCCACATTTTATTCGACGTAACGAAGGCCTATGACTACGTCACGAGGGGGACACAGAAAGTGCCTTCTATATTCAAAGGCTTTTGTAAATAAATCAAATGCTTGTGGTTCATTGTGTTCCACCTGCACGGTGAAAAGAATTTATTAAGCAGTGAATAGAACTGCGCTGTCCTGGGATGCAATAAGACATAGAAGAATGATGGCCTAATTAATGATCTTCGGTTTTACACTACACAACTAGATGGTCGCCGCTCAACAGGCAATCAAGTTTCTTGCTTTCTTTTTTGTTCTTTTTTTGGCACTTCAATTGCTACTATATTCTAGTCAAGACCCATAGAACTCTCTCTCGTTGAGTTTCCTTTTTTTTTTTTTCCTTTCTTTTTTTGGTTCGATGGAGGGACTATGGCCCCTTGCATTGGTACTAAACTAGGGGCGGCTACTCCTATCGCATCATCGTTCAGCAGACTGCAAACCAACTCTGGAGGGTCTTCGTAGGATTGCGCACCCGGGTTGCACTTCAAGCACAAATTGGCTAGACAATCTGCACATGCATTTCTTCCCTACACACATGCTGGATTTTGCATTCCCATTCCTTGTCCCTCCGTTTTCTGACCTGCTCCATGAGGTCCAAGTGAGGACTATTTGCTATCTCCTTCCTGTATCAGTGCGATACCAACAAGTGAGCCAGCGTAACCTTCCTATGACCAGTTTCCCCCGCTTTTTCCAGCTCAATTGTCATGCCCCATAGTTCCGCAGTCTTTTGACTCTTGTTAAAGTCTTCTCTACTAAAGCCAGATTCAGCGAAGAGAAAAGCGAGAGATCAAAAGGAATCGCAAAGTCAAACCAGTTATAAATAAGCTCCGAAAATGGATGCTGAGATCCAGAGCTTCATCAAGGTATGGTTTGTGGCCATTACATCCCTGTTTTACTCTTACTTTTTAGTCCAAAGGATCCCAACTGGACTCCCCAGACTTGTTTCTCTTCTCCCAATCATCTACCTCTTCATCACCCTCCCACTCAGCCTCACCTCCTTCCATCTTGGCGCTCCCACCGCTTTCTATCTTCTCTGGCTTGGCAACTTCAAGCTCCTCCTCTTCTCCTTCAACCAATGCCCCTTGGCGTCCAACCCACCATTACCCCTCCTCCACTTCATCTCCATTGCTCTTCTCCCCATCAAAACCAAAACCAATCTCCAACCAAACTCTTCTTCGAAGAATAGCAAGGAGCAAGATAGCCCGCATTTCAAGATCTCTGGAAGAGCCCTGTTGGTTTTTGGTATCAAGTTTTTGCTTTTAGCAAAAATCATTGTCATATATCAATACAGAGACCAACTGCATCAAAGCGTTATCTTCGCGCTCTACTGCTGCCACTTGTATCTTGGAGTCGACCTATGCCTAGCCATCACTGCTGTCCCCGTTAGAGCCATTCTTGGATTAGGGACTGAGCCGCAATTCAACCAGCCCTACTTAGCCACCTCACTTCAAGACTTTTGGGGCCGTAGGTGGAATCTAATGGTGACAAGTATTCTACGGCCCACCGTATACAATCCTATACGACGTAGTTCTACGCCGATTGTTGGCCGCAAGTGGAGCCTAGTACCGGCAGTTTTGGCCACGTTTCTGGTGTCTGGCCTCATGCACGAAGTTATCTATTATTACCAGTCACGTGCGAGTCCCACATGGGAGGTGACTTGGTTTTTTGTGCTGCATGGTGTTTGTGTGGTGGCTGAGATTGCTGTAAAGAAGGCGTTCAACGGCCGGCGGCAGTTGCCCAGGGTGGTGTCGGGGCCGCTTACAATAGGGTTCGTGGCGATTACCGGTGCCTGGCTGTTCTTTCCTCAGGTGATTAGGCACAGGCTAGACGTAAAGGCCATAAAGGAGTCCTATATTTGGTTACGTTTACTTGGGGAAAAGTTGGGCGTGCCAACCCAGTGGCTAGCATCTTTGCATTAGCTACCCTTCAGCTTTTGATCTAATTCAGGATCAGGTAGAGTATTTCTTCTTGTTCTGGAGTACTTTTGCAGCAGCTTCTTGTTCTGAAGTTGTTTACTAGTACTATCTGAATAAATGCCAATTCGTAGCTGCTGTTTCTGTTCTTTCCTTGAACAAACAATCGGAGAGGTATGATCAGAACTACTTTCATTTGTAGTGGTTGTCATGCTTCTCGTCTGGAATGATCGCTCGTTTACTTGCGTTGTTAGTGATGGAAGTTTGTCTCTTGTCAGTTATTTTTCCAATAAATGTTTTAGCTCTCTTTGTGGACATAATTAAATGGAAAGCAGGTTATAAAGCTGTAAAGGCAACATCAGAATTGGCACAGCTAAAATATTTATGTCCTGTCCCGAAGGAGGTATGAAAAAGGATGTCGGTCAGTGCAGAAACATACGAAGAAATTACGAGAAAGTAGTAACAAATGAGAGAAAAATAATTGTCTCAACCAATAATTAATACATGTTGCAACTCAAAGTTTTGACTTTAGAGATGATCCAATAACGGACCAGTTTGAGGAGTCAATAATTGCCTTTATCAATCTGCCCAGCCGCAACCCTCCGAGTTACTTAGGAATGGATGGACAAATCAAGTTTCGTGTTTAGAAATGGTAGTAAATGCTACTACTAAGCAGCAACCACCCCGGCTGCCTAATAAACCACCCTTGCAACTGTCACGCGACATCTGCCCTTGCGCTATAATATTTTACAACCACCCTTTGGTCCCTCATTTATTGTCTCCCACAAACTCTTCTTTAGTTTTGTATACCCAGAAGATTTATGGTCCAAAAGCATCCTCTCCATTTTCTATTCAGCCAACCTGAACATGCAGCCGTAGGGCAAATCACAAAGAACAACCATCATCTTCTTCTCGAGAGATCAAGGGGAAAAAAAAAAAAAGAAAGAAATGGGCGTTGAAATCCAGAACTTCGTCAAGGTATGGACTGCAGCAGTATGGTCTCAATTTTACACTTACTATGTAGTCTCAAGAATCCCAAGTGGACTGCTCACCAGACTTGTTTCGCTTGTGCCCATCTTTTACCTCTTCATCATCCTCCCCCTCAGCCTCTCTTCCTTCCATCTTGGAGCTCCCACCGTTTTGTATCTAGTTTGGCTGGCCAACTTCAAGCTCCTCCTCTTTGCCTTCAACCTAGGCCCCTTGTCATCACACCCTCCCTTATCCCTCCCACATTTCATCGCCACTGCTCTTCTCCCCATCAAAGACAAAGACGACCCAACTCATTTCCGTCCCTCCTCATCAAATGATGCTCAAAACAGCAGCATCAAACGACGTCCCCCATCCCAAATTACTCCGGAAATCATGCGCAAACGCCGGCAGTTTAAGATTATTCGTTTCACCATTAAGCTCGTCGTTTTGGTAACAGCGATCAGTTTATACCGTTATAGGGCGCATTTGCACCCGTGTTTCGTCACGGCCATCTACTGCTGCCATATGTACCTTGGCATTGAGTTTGTCCTGGCGCTCACAGCCGTCCCGGTTCGAGCCATCCTAGGACTGGAACTCGCGCGGCAATTCAACGAGCCGTACTTAGCCACCTCGCTCCAAGATTTTTGGGGTCGTAGATGGAACCTGATAGTTAGCACCATTCTACGTCAGATCGTATACGATCCAGTTAAGAGCATATTTACTCCAAAATTGGGAAGGAATTCGAGCTTGGCGGTAGCAACTTTGGCCACATTTTTGGTATCTGGTATAATGCATGAAGTTCTCTACTTGTACTTGTCTCGCGAAAGTCCCACATGGGAAGTGACTTTGTTCTTTGTCGTGCAAGGAATTTGTGTGACTCTTGAGATCTATGTCAAGAAGGCGGTGGCCGGCCGGTGGCGGTTGCATAGGGCTGCGTCCGGGCTGCTCACCGTGGGATTTGTGGGTGTCACTAGTGCTTGGTTGTTCTTTCCTCAATTGATTAGATACGGTGTGGATCAAAGGGTCATTGAGGAGTGCCATGCTTTCCTGAGTTTCCTTGGGAATATCTTGAGCCTGCCCACCTCGTACTGGAGACGTAAATTATGAGTACTTCGATTCATTACTTCCACCCTGTGATCTCGTGAGACCAACAAAATCAATCCTTATTTGTATGTTTGCCAGATTTCAATTTATATTATTTTGTTATTTCATTCGATCCTTATTTGAGGTTTCTTTTCTTTTCTTTTCTTTTCATGCCTAATGATTTTGTAGATTAAAAAAGGAGTTCATTGGTCACAACCTATACAGAATGGGCAAAAGAAATTGGATATGAATCGTCTTCCACCTTGAACGCAACAACAATACTTATTATATTTTCTATCCACCACCAACAACAAGTACTTAGTATACGAACAATTCATATTCGGGCGCTAATTCAAGAAACAATCATCATTTAACCAGCGCGATACTTTGCGGCCTTCTCCAACACGAGCGTAGGTACAAAAACAAGCTCCAAAGTCGTTGACCGATTTATATTGACATTCGAATAAGGGCAATAGCAGGGTGACAGACGTTCGTAACCCTCAAGATTGAAGACGTCAAGTCAACCCATATTTTCTTGTGTCTTTACTAGAGATATCTCGGCTGTGCGAGGCACAGTCTTGGCCCCTTCATAACTTAAATGGAACATATAACAGCAAAATTTTTTGGTACATAATAGACAAAAACACGAGAAAAATTGAGCATAAGAAGAAATTCCATTTATGAAGTTAGCTCTTCTAAATCAAGGAGACAATAAACACAGCATCTATTAAATCCATAACTGATCTTGAAGTTAATGACGGCAAGCAATGAAACAGGTGCACAGTTGAATACAATTGGGAAGGAAAAAAATCTGATTTTTCTGTGCAACTTTTAGAAACAATTTATAAAGAAATAGAAAAAGAGACTTTAATTGATTACATAGAGGAACTGTTTAAATGTAATAGTTGGTTAGCTACTAATCAAACATAATTAATCAATGTCCAAGGATTAAAAGTTTTTCATTAATCTACAAAACTTGATTCTATAGTCATAAATTAGACAATATATAAAAACAATACAAGTTCTTGCAATTATGCAAAATGACTTGCAATTGAAATCTTTTATCTTATCCTGTATGATACATCTTTTGTCTTGATCCATCAAGATAGAAGTAGGGAGATAAAAAGTGGGAGAAAAATCATAGATTTCTTGAAGGAGAGTTATGTCATGTGTCAAGAAATGAGAGTGCTACATTAAATTCTCATGTCTTCTTATATAATATGTAGACAATTAGAACAGAATGAAAATTGATTCAAGGATTGTAATGTAGTATTAGTATATTAAAACTAATCTAATGGCGATGAATTAGACAGTACACTCACTTAATCAAATAATTAAGGTTAAAAAAATTCATTGGGCTCAGAAGGAGAATAAAAGAGCCAGACTTGCTCGATTTGGCATGAAGAAAGAACAGAAAAAAAAAAATGATATGCAAGAGGCAAGAAAAATATTAGAGTTATGCAACTTGTCAAATTATTAGGAAGTCAAGTAGCAACAAGGAGGCAAAAACCAAACCTCCCATTCTTCTTGTATACAAGGTAGATTTTTCAAGTACAATTTATCGTGATGTCGAATCAACTGCTGAGTCGGTCCAAAGCTTTTGATGATCCAATCTTTGATGATCGTACGAGAAAATAAATACTCCGAACTATTCGATGATTTTGGATAACGCCAGTAGGAACATTGGATGATTGAATAGATACACTTCCAAACACAGAAGTGCGGCATACCTTAAGAGGAACTTTAATTGTGTTTTAACAAATTCGCATTCGTTTCACCTTTTAATAATTCGTATGCAATAATGAGTGAGATTCATAATTCAGGTACCCCTAAAATTTGGTTCTAAGACGCCTTTTAAACCTTGAGGTTTCAATCAATGCTGCTGGTCCTCCTCAATCAATGCTCAGGAACAAAGTCCCAGAAACAAAGTCCCAAGTCATTGACCAATTCATAGAGGAAGTTAGTTATACCCTTCGTCTAGCTAATTAATTGTTTTTCATTTATCTTCTGGTACAGTTTTCTCGTCCATTCTTTTTCCCATTCCAAATGCATTAGTTTGCAGTCATTCGCCCTTCGACTCAAAAGAAGTGACGAGAAAGTGCTGAAGAAGATGAAAAAACATTCTAATTTTCATCAGTAGTGGTAGGAAGGTTATAAAAGGTTTGCATTGCAAGTCGACAATGATGAAAAGCTTGGAGAAAAAGAAAATTAGAAAGTGTCAAAGTTGGTCGCAGAGACCATCTGTTTAAAGAACCAAAGCAGAAACCGTTGCGAGGAAGATTTTTGTTCACAAATGAAGCAACTGCGAAAGCAAATATTGCACGAACGTCTCAAATGGTCACATACCCAACAAGTTAAAAGTAAAACTCGTAACCAAAGAAGTAATTATTTTAAATTCTTAAGTATGGTTCGAATTTGTGGTTCAAGGCATGTTGCGGAGAGCACAATGCATGTTTTCCTCAATTTGAACCATACTCCAGGAATTAAAATAATTTCTTCTTTTTTTATTTTTCTTTCAATCTATCTAATTTTTAATATTCATTTTTAAGATTTAAAATAATTATTGATTCAAAATTATTTATGGAAGCAAAGATATGATTTTTATAAAATAATAAGCAAAAACTTTTTTCTATTTTTTGGGATTACTTCAGGGTTAATAAAATAAAAATATGTTCTTTTTTTAATGCAACATGGCCTCAATAAGGGCATTTTCGGCATTAAGGGGGGTTTTTGTTAAATGTTTGATCATTCAAAGGGTGAGACCGTTATTTGGACAAATTATAGGGATTGATTGATAATATGGTCAAATCTCAGGAGAGTAAATGTAATTAACCCAAAAATTAAAGAATCTAATAACTTTTTAAGAAAAACACCTGCGTTTACTAGTTTGGTGGTAGCTTTGGATAGTAAACGCAGTAGTTTGGTGGCAGCTATCTTCAAATAATTATTGCACCAAGCTAATTTTGGATAGTAAACGCAGGTGTTTATCTTGAATCTAAAAGATTTATTCCAAATAATCCACTGTCCAATAGGTTCAAGAAAATCCACTATCCAATAGGTTCAAGAAAAATATTCTTTTAGATTCAAGATAAACACCTGCGTTTACTAATTTGGTGGTAGTTTTCAGCGTGCGACGTGGGGACTACAATCATAACGACTCCGCGTGGGACCGTTGTCCAATTGCCTTATGGGTCCTACGTTTGATTAAACAACTCAAGTCTGAAAATTTTGAAACCTAAATATTAAATCAAATATATTTGAATATATGTTATATTATGTAATAAATAAGTAATTTATTACTTATTTTTTAAAATAAATTTTATCTAAAAAACTCAATATCATTTAATTAATTCATCTAAAAAACTCAATATCACTTAATTAATTCATTTAGATGTTCTTGTTTTGTTTGTATTCATATTTTCTAAACATTTTAATATCTAAATTTATTAAATTTAGATACTTAATTGGTTTATCCTAAGTTAAGGCAACTGGCAGGCAATAGTGAATAAACTATGTAACAGAAAAATAAAACATATATATATATATATATATATTAGGGAGGGACAGTCCGCGCGACGCGCAGGAATTCGGTGCTTGTGATTCAAGATAATTAATAATTATTGTTTAATATTTTGTAGTATAAGAACTGAAGTATGATGATTTTATTTTATCATGTGATTTTAGTAGAAAAATCATAAGTTACATAGTGAGTTAATAAAAATAATGTGTAATAAGACATCCTTATCGTTATACTATATAAGAATCTATTATGATCAAAGGTTATGTTTGAATTTCAACTGCAAAGATAAGGGCAATTTGAAAATATAAGAATGTGTGAAGTGCAATTAAAAAGTATCCAAAGGTCTCTTCTAAAACTTATCCAAAATGATAAAACATTTTAAAGTATCATTTGGACCATTCATCTCTCGAATCTATATATGTTCATGAAAGATCCCTCAAGCAATGCTTCTGATTTCTCCATCGACTTAAGCTCAATCTGAATTATCAAGTCAAGTTTATCCATCAATCATTCTGCGTCCAATCTAATCTAAAATAATTTTATTTTTTACTAACTATTTATATAATTTGGTGGGTATAATACGACTTAAACACATGTTTTTTACAGAGATAATAATGCCAAAAAATGATAGATAAATAAGAAACTTAAGTGGTCTTTTTCAAAGTTTTGTAAAAACTATTCAGATTTGGTGTTTTTTGCTAGAGGCATTTCTTTATAATCTCATAAATAAGTTCAAATCTGCATAATTGTTAAAGATCTGAATTGAAACTATCTTGATTATAAAAAATTGGTGCAAATAATATTTTCTAAGTTTGAAATTATAGAAAATGGTAAGTAAAATCAGAAGAAATTTCTCATATGAATTCGAATTGCAAACTATAGGTAGAAACTGCTTAATGATATTTTTCAATGTTTACTTGTATAAGTATCCAATATAACATCTCTACTTAATTGAATCGTTTGAAATATGGATAATAGTTGCTTCAATCAAATCAAGAAACATATTTATCATTGTACAACATACAATTATAAGTGAATGAATTAATACAATGCAATCAAAATGGTGCTGTAGCTAAAGCATTTAAACTCATCAAGTTCCACTACAAATTCTTTTACATAGCATAAAAAAGCAAATCTTTTATATTATTGTTATTTCATTCGATCCTTATTTGAGGTTTCTTTTCTTTTCTTTTCATGCTTAATGATTTTGTAGATTAAAAAAGGACTTCATTGGTCACAACCTATACAAAATGGGCAAAACAAATTAGATATGAATCGTCTTCCATCTTGAACGCAACAACAATACTTATTATATTTTCTATCTACCACCAACAACAAGTACTTAGTATCAGTGTTTTGAAAATCGGATCGGACCAACCGGTTCTATGCTATAGTTGATCAAGTTAGAAAACCGGTCAAAAACTAGTTAAATCGTAGAAACCGTCGAACCGGATTGAACCGGCGATTTCCGATTTTCGAGATTTTCCCTTTTTTTTCTTTTTTTCTTTTTTTACGTTTTGCAAAATGCAACTATCAAGATTCGAACTCAAGACCTTTGTAATAAAAGACCAATGTAGTAACCATTGCACCATCACATCTTATTAGTTTTGTTTTGATAACTTATTTAAATAAAACAAAAACTCATATTTCTTTTTTTCATTTTTTTTACAAAATCTAATTATCTCATGGCTCTTTCTTTTTAATCTTCAACACACACACACACACACACACACACTCTCTCTCTCTCTCTCCTCTTTTTTTTGTCACTCTCTTTTTAATCAAACCACTTTATTTTTAATTTATTGATGTTTTCTTCCATCTTTTAATTTTATTTTTGTCCATTAAATTGAAAAAGGTTGAAAAAGAATTATTTTTCTTTAATCCAAATTATTTAATGCCACAACCACTCACTTTTATCTCATTTTTTATTTCTTATCAAGTTTGCATTTCTATTTTCGATTCTCTTGACTTCTTTCGAACTCCAAAATTCCTTTTTTAAATTGCAATCTCTAAATCCCAAAACGTAAATTAAAATTTTAGTTCACAAAATCTAAATTCTCATAGACATGAATTTTGTATAATTTTAAAATATTATGATATTTTTGGGTTAGATCTAAGATTTTTTTGGTAGATATAATTGAAATTGAAATGAAATTTATTTATTTTAATTTATAATTTAAATTTTTTATTTTTAAAAAATCAAATTATTCAAAAATAGTAAACTTTTCATCATATAATGTATTAAATTAGTCCATTATATGTCTTATTTTGTGCATAAATATTTATATAAATTATTTTTTTTAAATTCATTGAACCGAGGTTGAACTGGTCCGACCGGTTGAATCTCGACCCTTTCACGTCACCGATTCAATTAACGGTCCGATTTTTAAAACATTGCTTAGTATACAAACAATTCATATTCGGGCGCTAATTCAAGAAACAATAATCATTTAACCTGCGCGATACTTTGCGGCCTTCTCCAACACGAGCGTAAGTACAAAAACAAGCTCCAAAGTCGTTGACCAATTTATATTGATATTCGAATAAGGGCAATAACAGGGTGACAGACGTTCGTAAAATCTGGTTCTAACTTCTAAGACGCCTTTTAAACCTTGAGGTTTCAATCAATGCTGCTGGTCCTCCTCAATCAATGCTCAGGAACAAAGTCCCAGAAACAAAGTCCCAAGTCATTGACCAATTCATAGAGGAAGTTAGTTATACCCTTCGTCTAGCTAATTAATTGTTTTTCATTTATCTTCTGGTACAGTTTTCTCGTCCATTCTTTTTCCCATTCCAAATGCATTAGTTTGCAGTCATTCGCCCTTCGACTCAAAAGAAGTGACGAGAAAGTGCTGAATTGATGAAAAAACATTCTAATTTTCATCAGTAGTGGTAGGAAGGATATAAAAGGTTTGCATTGCAAGTCGACAATGATGAAAAGCTTGGAGAAAAAGAAAATTAGAAAGTGTCAAAGTTGGTCGCAGAGACCCATCTGTTTAAAGAACAAAAGCAGAAACCGTTGCGAGGAAGATTTTTGTTCACAAATGAAGCAACTGCGAAAGCAAATATTGCACGAACGTCTCAAATGGTCACATACCCAACAAGTTAAAAGTAAAACTCGTAACCAAGTAAAAATTCTTCCTTGTTGCACCAGCGGAGACTTCAGATGGTTTCTACAACTGTAGGAAAAGTTAATGCTCCGTACGGTGAATCCAACGAACTTGACCCTTTCTTTTTTGGTCATTGAATCCAACGAACTTGACTTTTTTTTTGTTTTTTTTTTGCCCTTTCTTACAACAGTAGGAAAAATTAAAGAATCTAATAACTTTTTAAGAAAAACACCTGCGTTTACTAGTTTGGTGGTAGCTTTGGATAGTAAACGCAGTAGTTTGGTGGTTGCTATCTTCAAATAATTATTCCACCAAACTAATTTTGGATAGTAAACGCTGGTGTTTATTAGATTCAAGATAAATACCTGTCGTTTACTAGTTTGGTGGTAGTTTCCAGCGTGCGAAGTGGGGACTACAATCATAACAACTTCGCGTGGGACCGTTGTCCAATTGCCTTGTGGGTCCTACGTTTGGTTAAACAGCTCAAGTCTGAAAATTTTGAAACTTAAAATATTAAATTAAATATATTTGAGTGTGTGTCGTATTATGTAATAAATAAATAATTTATTATTTATTTTTTAAAATAAATTTTATCTAAAAAATTTAATATCACTCAATTAATTCATTCAGATGTTTTTGTTTTGTTTTTATTCATATTTTCTAAACATTTAAATATCTAAACCTACTAAATTTAGATACTTAATTGGTTTATCCTGAGTTAAGGCAGCCGGCAGGCAATAGTGAATAAACTATGTAACAGAAAAATAAAACATAAACATATATGTGGAATTTCTAAAGGGCTAAACAGTAAATATGTATATACATTAGTCTGAGTTGATAAATTAATCATCAGTCGATATAAAGCCCGGAGACAGGATAAAAATTTTATACTTGTCACAATCACTATTTGTGTCATGGTACAAATTTTTTTTTTTTGGTTCTTTTCTTTTCCTTTTTATTTGGATAAAAATTTTATATACTAACGTAATATGTTATAATTTTGTAAAAATAAAATATTATTTCTCATGTTTAAACAATATGTGGGGACTTCAATCCTTCGTGCACATATGCAAAAATTTAATTTCATCCAATTTTTAATTACATTTTTTTGTTCACAATACTAACATTTATTGCTTTCATTAATTGCATGTAATGTAATCACATTTGAATTCCTAATTCTTCCATTCATCTTTACACTCCACTTAATTAACTTATTCTTCTACAATACATACGAGTCAATTACCTTTTCATATATTATTTATCTTTTCATTTCAAAAACAAAATTGCAGCACTATGTTTGAAAAGTCCACCATTTTCTTTCTTCCCGCTCCTTTTTTTCTTTCATGTTACTTTGGCACCATTCACCTTATATATTCATTTTTGTTGGAGTCCGCATGTGCGGAGAGTTTTAAAAATATCTCCAATTATCGGGCAATTTTATGATGACTAAAATTTGCCAAAAAGGCTGCCCCTGTAATTTCAAAAGGTCATTTTTTGTGAACTGCAATTTTTTTTTGGGTCCCACGAGCAACTGCCCCTACCGTACATATTCCTCCCGCTTTATGGCAGCCTTCCTCTGCCCGGCACCGTACCCAGCAGAAACGTTCACTTTCCAGTTTCCACCGCAACCCTAGAATTGTCATATGATGTACCCAGGGCAAAACTCGTGACCAAGGAGGTATATGCGCGAAACCAAGAAAGCGTGAGAAATAAAAAATCAAAATGATAGCGTGCGGTTAAACTTATTATCATGAGCATGCTTGTTTATGCCTCCATTATCATTAGCATAGTACGCAATGCGCTTTTTATCGTCTCTTTCTTCGTAATATCGAACCGGAGACTGCTAAAAGCTTCAAAGTTATGGAATCATTTGAAATATCGAGATTTTTTCTTGAGTTTCTTCTTTTTCTTTAAAGGGAAACATCGAGATTTGAAACAGGATGCGGGACCTATGATTTAAAGAAGTGGAAGGACAAGGTACACTCATGTTGCATAAAGGACGCAACAACCCCTTCGGTGTCGGTACTCCAAAGACATTTAAGTCTCGACGGACGAATGAAAGGTCAGGATTCAACTCTTGCATTGATTTCTCGTCGAATTCACTTTAAAAATAGGTCGAGAACCACAATATAATAAAATAAGTAATGTCATTTTACAAGCCTCCTTTATTTCTTGAAGAAACCGTCGTGCTAAAACGTGCAACATTTTGATAGTATACAAGTGTCCAATTGGACAGAGTGTGATCGGAGTAATATATTGGTGGTTGAAGATTCAAGGTGAATCGGAGTCTGATCGAATTCTCCTCACAGATTTCTCTTTGTTTCCTATGGAGATTTTAAAAGCATCAAAAAGGCAATAACCAACAGGTTTCGTGCTAAGAAAAATAATTAATACTACTACTTGGATGATGATGATGAGATGCTTTCCTTTCAGTCGAGGGCACAAAGTCAAGTAATTTGGAGCCGTTGATTGAAAAGCTCGGGCCCACCTACGCATTTTCAACCCTTCCTTCTACGTCACATATATTAAATCAAATGACCCGCTAGTTATGGTAGTACTACATTTTAATAACAGGCAATCCAAAACCAAACTGGCTCTTGAATTGCAGAAAGCACACGAAAAGTCGCAGCATCCAGTCTGCGAAGAAGCGACAATATTACAACTGATATATAAAATCCCGAAATTCAGCGCTAGAATCACTAGAAGGGGACCACATGCATGCATGATTGATTTTAAAGTCAACTACGGACAAACAGTTGTCCATTTTATTATGACGGAAATGTCGAAGACCCCTTCTTGATGGCCCGTCGTCGTTTTCAGACTGCCCGGCTCCTAGCTCCTCAACTCGTGGCCCAGGACAGTGGAGATAAGGCCACCAGCCTACCATTCACATACTCGCCAGCTTGACTGAACTCTTCAAAAATCATTCTATCAATTTCCATCTTGGTCAACGGAGGGAAAAACAGCCACATACCGGTTGCAGCCACAAACCCAATTGTCAACGGGGCCGCAATTAACCGGGGCACCTCCCATTTTCCTCCCACGGCTGTCTTCAATACCAGTTCAATCATAACACAAATTCCATGCAGAACGAAGAACCAGGTCACTTCCCAGGAGGGCTTCGCGCCTGAGACGTAATAGTATATGAGTTCATGCATTAGACCAGAGACAACAAAGGTCGCGAAGATGGCAGCCAGTACGGCGGATCGATTCCCCAGTACGATCTCCGATATTGACCTGACGGGCTTGTATATTGTGTGCCGCAGTGCATTTGCTGCTGAGAGGTTCCACCTCTTGCCCCAGAAATCTTGCAGAGAAGCTGATAAGTAGGGCTCGTCGGAAGGTGCCTCCAGCTCTAGACCCACCAGGGCTCGGACCACGAAACTAGAGAGCGCCACCAGAACTTCAATTAGGAAAAACATCGCGATGCTATAGGCTATTTGTACAACTGCGGGGTGTACACTTTCTTTATATTTGGCAGCTAGCCCAAATATAACGGATAAAGCTAAGATCTCCGTTCCTAAATTATTTAAAAACGGTAGCTTTTTCTTGGAGGGTCCGGAAGAAGTAGATGAGGGGTTGACATTTGGCAGCTTGGTTCTGATGGGGAGAGCACCGGAGGCGATGAAGATGTGCAAGGGCATGGATTGGTCCGAGGAGAGTGGACCTCGTCCAAAGGCAAAGAGGAGCAGCTTGAAGTTGCCCAGCCATGTTATGAAGAGTGCTGAGACTCCTCTAAAGAAGACACTGGGCACGTAAAGTGGGAGAATTGTGAAGTGATAGTAGACGGGTAGGAGACAAATCAGCCTCAAGAAGCCTTTTGGGATTCTTGCAGCAATGAAGTAGCAGTAACTGAGAGATGCTAGCACCGATGCGAAAGCAAAGATTGAACTCTTGATCTCGTCCCCCATTTGGAAATGGTTTGCGAATTCCCCCGGTCAAACAAGGCTTCTGTGGCGTCGGTGGGATGAGAGAGCTTGCTTTATTGGGCGAACTGGAATGAGCAAAAGAGCGCAAGAAAAGAAAGTATTCCAATTTCCAACCGCCTGCGCACCTAAGTACAGCTGTTTAACGGATAATATCAGAAACCATCCCTGAAGTTTCTTTTAATATCATTTAGGCCCCTCAAAGTTTAAAAAATATCACTTACCTCCCCTATTTTTGTTATTTGTATAACAAAACTTTTTAAAAATCATAAACTACCCTTTCACTCACTAAATAAATAAAAATACTCCCAAACCACTCCGTTGACTCCAATAAAACCATCGCCTAAAAAATAATATCTCGTAGTACTCCTATGTCACAGTGGTATGGTCCATAAAAATTTATAAATTTGAAAAACAAAAAAGATATTTGCAAAGAAATGCACTGATATCAATTTAACTTTGTGTGTTCAAAACCCATTTCTTGTGAACCTCATAATTTTTTTTTCTAACGTCTTCTCAACTTCTATCCAAACTTTTAAATTATACAGATCATTAAAAAAATCAATTCAAAATAAATAAATAAATTATACCCCACACTATTATAATCACGAGAAGCAAACGATAAACAAAATTCAATTTTACCATAATTTACAAATAAAAAATTGCATAGTCATCCCAAAAAAAAAAAAGTAAGAGAGAATGTTAGAGAAACTAGAAAGAGAAAAATGTGACTTTTGTTTTTTGTTTATCTTTTTTTTTTTAAAAAAAATTTGAACTTCATTTATTCGATATATGAATTATGTATCAAATTAAGGTTAATATAGTCCTTTTAAAATTATTAAGGGAAGTAAGTCATATTTTTTAAACCTTGGGAATGTCAAGTAATATTAAGAAAAATCTCTACTAAGGTTTATCCCTTAGTTTGATTTTGTGGTTTAACTTTAACGGGTGAGTGAGGCATGAAGTGTGTGGACAGCATGAAAAGGAATCTAACTTTTGGCCATTTCGAAGTATATATTCCGTCATCGCCTTCTCCTATTGGTGTAGGAAAAAAAAAATTAATAAGATTCAATAACTCTGAACCTCTCTCGCTCAAAGACGGATTCAGTGCCGCTGCGTTTTGTTCTGTTCAATTGTTGCATTGCATGTGTTCAATTTTTTGGCATATGAATCAATAAAATGCTAGATTAAATATGTGTCAAGTATTTTATTTTTATATGTTACTTTTACTATGATTACAACAATGTAATATAAGTATATATCAAGTAATATAAAAAATATAACAACCGGACGGAGTCGCACCTTGTTTATTTGGATTGTAAATTATTTGAGATATTTTTAGTGTAACACTCTTTGTGATATGATGTTTGTGAGATAAAAAAGTAATTAAAAAGATAAAAAACTGTATTAAAAATTATAATGATGATATAAGCAAATATATTTGAGAAAATAACCCATTGTCCAGACAAACTACTCACTCAAACATGTTTTTTGGATTTTGGTTAACTTTGCTCGTACTTCATGACAGCTGGTTTTCTCACACATAACCAAAGTGTTGGGCAAATCCATTGGGCATGCTTGGACCTTGGAAGCGGCATATGATCACAGCCCTAAAATGAAGTCCAAACCGAATCCAGTTGGAGCTACAATAGATTCGGCCCACCAAAGCCCAGGATCCCAACACTACATTGAAGTGGAACATGAAATACGTAATATATATATTTAAAAAAAAAAACTTTTTTTCCATATCGATTTCTGAAGTGGCACAAAAGCTGAACTCAACCACGATTAAATGACCTAACCACAACAAAGGTCCAATATGGGCTTGAACAAATTAAGAGCTGCTCTCTCCCTCTCTCTCTCTGGCCTCTGCTGCCGCGTCTTCTTGAATCGAACCAGCGCTGTGGTGGCTGGTGGGTTCGGTCTCGTTTGGTCGCTGGTAAAGTAGCCAGCAGCCCTGTAGCCTTTCACTAGCAGTTTGCGTTATCTTTCTCTCTCACACAGTCACACACTGAGACGACAACCCCAACCAACGAGAAAAGAAGGATAATACGAGAGAGAGAGAGAGAGAGAGAGAGAGAGAGAGACTTAACAAAAGACTGCACCACCTCCTCCACCTCCACCTCCACCTCCACCCCCATGAATATTTTGCCCTATTAATTTTTTTATAGTATTATTTTTTTGGGTTCAATTTACAGCTCTTTATTTTATCTTTGTTCTCTCACAAAGCCGCCGTACTACGTAAAGTACCTCAGATCAGATTCTCTCTCACCTCTCACTCGATTTTGCTGTCTCTTCGGTAAGCACTATCTATCCCTTTTTTTAGCCCCTTTCAATTTGTATATATGGTATTATTATATAGCTGTTAATATATGTCTTTCTCTTTACATTAAGGGGAAAATTATCAGCTTTGTTTCATTTTGTGAACCTGGAAATCGGATTCTAGGGTTTGGATTTTAGAATTTTAATTGAAGTTAAAAGCATTCGATTTAAGGATTGCTGTATAAGTTGGTCTGTGTAGCTGCATATTTGCTGCATGTTTGATTGGGCATGCACTTTAGAATTTGTATGTTTGTAGTGGGAGAGATAGAGGTGAAGTTAGCCGGTGTGCCCGCATGTGCTTATCAATTCTGTGTCAAAACATGCTAAATTGCTGTACGTCTGATCGCTTGGTTGGTTTGAGTTAACTTCGAAGACAATCACGGCAGATTACCCTGGCAAGTGTTGTGACAAATTGCATTTACGCTAACTGTCTCTTTATCTTGCTATTTCTTATGCGACTTACTGATATGTGTTTGGCGAATGAATCTTGCCGAGTTTTTTTTTCTTTTTCCTTCTTTTGTGGTTATAAGGTTAGGGTTTAGGTTAGATTCTATTGGCTATGATTCCCTAATTTAGCTGAGTGGATCGATTGTTCAGATATGGGTTTTCGGTTAAGTGCAGTGCTTGTGTTTATCTGCCTTGTGGTGGATACTGTGAAGCTTGTGGGAGTCTAATAAAAAATTTATATTTGTATTGACAGAAATTGCATGTGAAGATATTCTAGTGTAAATAATGGCTGTTGAGGCCTGTTCGACACCTAGTTTGCTGGAAGATAGCGATGAGGAGAATGCACCCTTAGTATTCAAGAGAACCAGCTCATCATCAAAGCAAAATCTATCTAACTCAGATACAAAGAAATTGTCATCTCAGAAGCGTGATGGACAATCATCTAGAAACAGTTCAGATGTATGTCCCGTGAATGGCCAAAGTTCTAGTGCTCAAACAGGTAGGGTAGTTTCCTCAGCCAAGACACCACCTGCCAAATCACCTCTTTCTAGCCCAAAAGCAGCAAATATCTCAGCCAAGACTTCATTGATTACATCTCCTGGAGCAAATTCAAAACCATCTTCTTCTACATCTGCTACCGTGAAACAGCTGGAAAATCATAAAAATTCCCCTGTGGTTAAGCTTCCAAAGCGTTCTGTATCTGCTGCTAAACTGAGTAGCACCCCTGAGGATTCTGATGATGACAAACCATTGATGGCTAAGCTTCCCAGTGGGTCATCCAGGGCAATTGTTAACCATGGTAATAAAGACGGTGATGGTTCCAGTTTGGTTCAGAAGCCAGGGGTCGAAGAAGATGAAGATTCAGATGACGAAAAACCTCTATCATCTAGGTATTTGTCAAAGTCTAATTTAGTTGAATCTATAAGCAAGTCAAGGAACCCGGGTGAAAAGAAGTCATTACCAGCTAAAGTTCAACAAAATGGTTCTGCCTTGAGGGATGGTCCTGTTGGCAAATCTTCTTCTCTGTCAAATAAAAGACCTCCTGGTGAGGTTAAATCTTCAGATGAGTCTGCAGTGAAAAAGCCTAAGCTTTCAGGTCCAACTGCAGCCATCAATAAGAAGCAGGCAATGCTCAAAGCAGAACCAAAGGTGGAGGATGATGATGATGATATTCTTATCTCGCAAACAGCCAAGAAGATGTTTGCTTCAGCCAGTAAGCCAAAGTCTAACGATGACGATGACGATCATGTTCCTATAACCCAGAGAATGAAGAAGTCAACTACTTCTGTTAGTCAGTCATCTTCTGTGAAAAAAGTAGCTAAAGTTGTTTCATCTTCTCTGAAAAAAACGAATAAGAAGTCTAAGAAAATAATTAAAAAGTCAAAGTACTCCAAGTCATCTAAAGTGCCTCCTGGCTCTGGAGAAGGTCAAAAGTGGACTACTTTGGTTCATAATGGTGTCATTTTTCCTCCTCCCTACAAGCCTCATGGGGTTAAGATGCTATACAAGGGCCAGCCTGTTACTCTGACTCCTGAACAGGAGGAGGTTTTCTCTCTCTCTCTCTCTCTCGTGCACACACGCTATAAAATATCTATGATAGCCCACATCTCTATGATATCCCCAAATTAGCTTCTCAATTTTTACCTCAATCCATTGCAGGTTGCTACTATGTTTGCTGTGATGTTAGATACTGATTACATGAGTAAACCTCAATTCAAAGAGAACTTCTTTAGTGACTGGAAAAAGATACTGGGAAAGAATCATACCATTCAGAACTTGGAAGACTGTGACTTCAGACCTATATATGAGTGGCATCAGAAAGAAAAGGAGAAAAAGAAACAGATGACTACAGAAGTAAGTTTAGGTTGTTGAACTTCTTCAATCTGTGCGGAAAACGGAAAAATCTAAAGGAAATGGTTCTCCTTTGTGCAACTTCTCTCATGGAAATGAAAATGTGAAGCTAATAGTTTAAACTGTAGATAAAAATTTGATAAGGCAAGTTATGTCTTTTTGATTCTCAAGTAATATGATCTTTGAGGGAAAAAATGTGCTCATCTGCTCATGACTGTTGTGCCTCATATGTGAAAGATTGTTACATTTTAAATCATCAGTAGGTGTAAAACATCTGGAAACCTTTTTTTTTAATTTCTGGGTTTAGAATATTAATTTGACTGTTTCTTCAATTCTAAAGGAGCATGATTTTTTTTATTGTTTCA